GGGTGGGTGAGAGTTAAAGGCTGAGTCTGCAAAGGGCCCACGCTCCTCCTTACTCCCCAGGAAGCCCCTTGATTACTATGCAAACCAGTCCTAGAGTCTGGTGCAATGGAAAGATTAGGTCAAACAGACCCAAGCTCAAATTCCCAACTCTTGCTTAATAGATGTGCGACCTTGGACAAATAACAACCTCTCTGAGCCCTATAAAAGTAAAAATATTTTTATAGTTATACCTTGTCTCACTTCGGGGTGTATTGAAGGTATCTGAGAGACCCTACAGACAATGGAATTAGATGGCATTTAATAGAAGTAAAAAGGATATGGAGAAAAAGGGATAAAAACCTAAGATGAAGCCAGGGATGCCGTTAGTTTGTGAAATGAATCCCCATGTGATCCTGCTGCAAGAGGTGGGACCCAGCAGATTCATCTCTGAGCTTCCTGACAGCTCAAGTAAAGAAGGAAATGCAGCGAGCTACAAAATCCAGAATGCCCATGAGATTAAAAATAGAACCACCACACAGAGGCAGCCAGCTTTTCTAAAGTCAAAGAAAAATCTCTCCCCTGGACCTTCCAAAAGAGGCAAGTTGGGGAGGGGAGAATGTGTGTACAATGAGAATGATACTCTCTCCTAGGTTCTTTGTGTATTTGAAATAAAATAAAATGCCTGATAGTGACTCTCAGGGTGGCCAGTACATGGTAAGTGCTTAATATATGCCACTTCGTTCCTTCCTCCTACATGGTCCTCCATCTTCGCTTAGGTAAGGAGTATCTGTGAGATCTGCCCTGCGTGTGAACAGTCAGCTATTTACTCATTCAGCAAATACTTATTGAACACCTTTCTATGTGCCAGGCCTTGGGTGAGGAAAACATGGGAATCACCCTAAACCTAGTTAGTATCTTCCCCGCTGTCCCCAGATCCTCAGCTCAGAAGCTCCCTCTCTCCCTCTGCCACCCACCCTTTTGGGTCTCGGGGCTTCGCCTCCTCCCCAACATGCCTATAAACTCCAGGGAACCCCGCTCCTGTGGCCTCCCTCATTCCCCACATAGCTTCAGGCTGCTCCCTCAGACCACCACATTCATGGAGCTCAGCCACGTGCAAAAGCACAATTAATATTCCGCTCGGTCTCCCCCAGCCCTGCTGCCTATTGGAAGAAGATGGAAACCAGATTTGCAGCCGCACGCGCTGGCATGGACGTTCATGGAGGGGTGGGCCCGCTCCTAGAAGAGCTGACACGTTCTTCTCCAGAGGCTCGCACACATGCATAAAGGGCAGAAGCCCCTCATGAAGGTCTACACCTCCAGACACAGGATCATCCACCCAAGTGTGTGCATCCATGGTTGCCAGTTGATGCCCAGAGAGCACATTGGCGCCTCACACACAGGGCCCACGTTTGCTTTCTGGGCAGAGGGAGACAGTCGTAGAAGCTGAGCCGGTAGGATGGTGACTGTCATGTGCAAAGTGACTGTCCTGTGCAAAGCCCTCACTTTCCTGGAAAGAATCTGAGGCCCTGGCTTAACCTTGACTGTTATCAGTTCCCCCTTGACTGAACTATGCCCAGTTGCATTTTAGCAAAGCCTTTGAATGCCTGAAGCTGCCTCTCTACTTCCTGCTGAGGAGGAGCCACATCGGCCTCACCACCACTGGACGTTGGGGAAACCAAGGCACAGGAAGTGAGGCTGGGGAGGGACTTGGCAAGTCAGTAGATGATAGGCAAAGTCAAGCTTCTGAATTTCCATGCCACTGCCTTTCCTCGTAGTCCCATATTTCTAGCCCTGCCAGCCCTACGTGGGACAGGATTTGCAGGGGAGTGTCCCCAATAACAGGAGGACTCACCAAAGGCAAGACTGGCTTTGTTGATTTTTCTCCCTTGACTTTGCACATAGAGAGCAAGGGGGATAGAGGGCTGTATGTCTTCAGGGTTGGAGCCAGGGGCCTGGGTTATAGAGACATTAGAAACAGTGTTGGTGCACGTGGTTCAAGGTAGAAAGAAGGGTGAGTTCAGAGCAGGACTGAGAGCAAAGCAGGAAGAGGGTGGAGCTGTTCCCCAGGGCAGCAGGCAGACAGAGGGCCAAGGGGCGGGCCTGCCTCCAGTCTGAAGATGGGACAGTAGAGTAGAAATTCAGGGAAAGAAAAGCTAAAATAATTACCAGGAAAAGGAGCTGGAAGGGAGGCAAGTGTTTTCCTAGTCCTTAAGGAACTTCAGTCTTCAGAGAATTTGGAAGGGAAAAAAAATCTATTTTTAAGGCCCTTCTCTAAGGCAAGATGGCTGGTGATTCACTAGCTGCTGAGGAAGGCCCTGGAAAGCCCTCCCCTCTGCTACTGCCTCTGCCTAGTGAGCAAACCCAGTTCATCTGGGGTGAGTGGAAAGGGCCCTGGGTGAGGAGCCTGGAGGCCCAGATTCAGTGTTATCCTTGCCCCATCAAAGCTAGGCAATCAAAGGCAGGCCTCTTAGGGCCGTAGGCCTTGGTTTCCTGTGAAATAAAGGAATACTAAATCATATAAACTCTCTGAACCTTGCTTTTCTCACCTGCAGGTTGGACCTAATAATAACATCACGTTACATTGAATCTAAAATGGCATCAGTTGTGTGATGCACCATTATTTTTTGTACATTAAGAAGGAAAGAACACTGTCCATTCAACTGCAACATACCATTGATTATAAGACATAGTCTGATATCAGAGATTTTAAAATATGCATCTCAGGATCAGTGAATATGATATTATCTTACAAGCTTCTTCCAAGAATTAAACAAAATAATGTAAATAAAGTATTTAGTGCCTGGCACAAAGCACGTATTCAATAAATGTCAGGTATTTTTACAGTTCATGGTGGAGCTGGGAAGGAACCCCAGGCCAAGGGGATGGAGAAGAGTGACAGCCGGGGTCTGAAGCCCACCCCCACCCTCCTGAGAGGGTGCCACCCCAGGGACTCCGTATCTAGACTCAGCATGGGGCACAGGGAGAACAGCCATGCAACCCATTTTAAGGGAGCCACAAGAGAACAAAGGTTTCCATCTGTGCCCCGGAAGTCAGTCTAATCTCCAGGATGAATATGTTTTCATTTCTCAGAAGTTCCTGTTAGAGTGTGCCAAAGCCTTTTTCCCTTTACAAGCCAGGCAAACAAGGCAGGTTTACTTTGGGTGACCTTCTCACCGCCACCACGGGAGCCTGCCTGCCGAGTGTAAACACCCACCCTTGCTCCCTCCTGGAGTTTCCAGGTGGGAGCCTGGAAAATGGGAGTGCCAGTCCTCCTGAGGAGGCCGGTCCTTGACCCCATCCCCCACTCCCTGCCAGACCCTGTCCGGGTAAGGGCACATCTGGAAGGTCCTTGGAGAGGACTGGACCCTAGGGATCATTAACACCTCTCCCATTTTATAGATGTGAAAATTGACCCAGGGAAAAGCAGTGAATATCCAGGGGTGTCAAAGTGTGGCAGGAGCCTCTCTCTCCACCTGACCTTCAGTGCCTGGGACAGGCAGGGAGCTTATCTCTGTCCTTTCTCTCCTGTGCGTCACTGCCTGAGTTGGGATGTCTATGCATTTTGTTTCACAGCTGGAGCAGCTGCTGGAGAGCAACAACCAGATGTTCCTCAAGCCCAAAACAGGAGGGGCCACAGTCTGTGCTTTTCTTGACCTGGAGTGTTTGGGGGTGTTTACAGAACCAGTCTTGGCCTCCTTCCCCTGCCCTTCAGATGCAGAGAAGGGGCCTGAGAGGGGCTGGCTTGTGGACCATGCCCAGGACTGTCAGAGAGAAAGCAGACCCTCCCTGTTGAGTCAGAACGGTGACTTCAGGCCTAACCTCAGCTGTCTAATTTTCTCTCCTGAAAAAGCTTTAAGAGACTATATAGAAGGGATGTGCTGCTACAGAGGGCTTCAGGTGGGCCTTCGAATCTGAACTAGTGCACTTTTCAGTACTTAAATAGAACAGAGCCTTGAGCCTCTGTGTAACGGTAAGTACTGGGTTTATGCAGAGCACTGGGGGTTTACATTCATCATCTCGCTCCTGTGCCCCTCCCAGTCTTTCTCTCTTTCTCTTCTACTTGCTGTTCCCTCTGCCTGGAATGCTTTTCCCTCCATTTTACCCTCAAATGACTCCAGTTCACGCTTCAGCTCTCAGCTCACATGTCACATCTTCAGGGAGGCCTGCCTTGCCCCACACAGTCATCTCACACTATTCTATTTCCCTCATAGTCCTTATCACTCTCTGAAGTCGTCTTAATTTTTTTTTTTTTTTTACACAGGCTCGCCTCATTCACCCTAAACATAACTTCTTAATCACCACTGTGTCTCCAGTGTATGGTCTAGGCACTGTTCATAGGTGCTCACTAATATTTGTAGAATATGTGAACAAATCCTCTGCCATATCTTTGCTGGACTTGGCCATCTCAGAAAAACAATTATCATGCTCCTACTATGTTCCAGGCTCTGCACTGCCCATTCCCTTTCCCCTCCTCCCCAACCCTTCACCCTCAGGACTTTCCTTGGAAGATCTTGCTTCTCAGACTCCACAGGAGGTACTGGAACCAGAATGTCTCCCCAGGATTATTTTCAACAGTTTCCTGGGGTGTTCACCTGGGTAAGAATCAGGAAAGAGAGGACACTCTAATCCTATTTATCTAAAACTGTATAATCTTCTCCAATCACGTAAATGGTGGTAAATGGTGCCTGTGTCTCTAATTACAGAGCAAGCTGGGAGGAACACAGGCACAATTTCTAGCCGACCTCAGGCAGATGGGCACTTTTGTTCCTCCCGGGGGCCTGCAGGGACTCCAGCTCAGGAGCCAGGACTCCAGGCACCTGCTAGCACCAGCTCGCCCACCACAGACTGGCTTGTCCAGCCAGAAACCACTCCCCCTCCCTGAAAAGGATCAGTCTCATTCCCAGTGCCTGCACGTTCCCAGTTGACCAGATGTGACACATTTGGGAAAAGCACCCATGGTCTCAGTACCTTAATTCTATCTGCTACTGTTTTGAGAGTGAATTGATTTCTTTTCGGCCCAGCCTAACTTTTCAGGGTTGTATTGCTGGTGAACTGGTCCCCAGAACATGGGCTCAATTCCCAGCTTCTCAGGAGCAAACTCTCCAGGAGGCCTGGAGGCTAACAGTCATGTGACAGCCTGGAGGGTCAGAACTTCACTCTCCGGGACTATGTCAACTGGGTCAGGAGATGGCAGAAAAGCCACACGCCTGCCTGCCCGCCCACACCAGGTAAGCAAACAGCTGCTCCCTCAGCTTCAGTGTGTGCCCTTTTCCCACCGTGGCACTGAGAGAGCCATTTCAGTGACACCCCTGGCTTAGCTGCAACGACATCTCTGCTTCTTAAAGGCCTTTTGGTTCCTGAGCTAATTAAAAGCCCCAGACAGCAAGGACACACTTAATCCCATTAATGACTTCTGACCAGGAAACAGTGTGCCCAGCCCTCTGAGGGAGTGTCTTTCTGAACCACCTCCATTTGTTCAGGTGCCTGGTGATTGTTTATCAGCCCTTTCAAGAGATTAAGCTGTACTCTGGAACTGGCCGCTTAGGTAATGGACCCAGGGGGTCTGGGAGTGTCCCATGACCACGAAGCATGCTGCCAGCCAGCATCCTGGTTTATGCCAACTCCGTGGCCACTGTTCTCCAATCTCTTGCTCTTCAGAGCAATTAGGGGGACGTGATTGATGAGGAGAGGGGTCCTAGCCTCATCTTTGCTGCTCACCTGGCCCTTTCACACACAGGAAAGGCGGATACAGTTCTTGCTGTGAGGGATCTTAGAGTCCAGTTAGGGTCATGGACAATTGAGCAAAGATAATAGCACATTAAATTCACCCCAATGGATGTAAGCACACTATATCCTGTGAGTGTGTAGTGGTGGTAACTGCTTCAACCTCGGGGTCAAGGAAGGCTTCCTGGTGGAGGAGACGTGTGAAAATCTCCGCATTGAGAGGAGATTTGTCGAGGGGCCTATGAGATGGGATTCCCTGACTTTGGATTTGGTTCAGGTTCTAGCATAAGGCAGCAAAAGTGGGAATAACTCAGCTCCCTTGTGAAGTTAATAGGAGAGTGGCTGGCAAAGCCTTACCAAAATGCCGAGGTTCCAGAAATAGTTATTGCCTCCGGGACGATTTTGCTTCAAGCCCCAGTGTAGAGCGTTCAGAAAAGAAATTGGCAAAGACTAGCTCTTCTCTTTGAAAGAGTCCTCTTTAAAAGAGGAGGGACGATTCCTCAGGCCACTCCCTCTTCTCATTAATATGAGATTATCGTGAATATTGATGTGGGGGCGTGGCGCCTCGGCCAGCTGGGCTAACCAGCCCGGGGTTCCCGGTTTCACAGAGGAAAGTGACAGAAGCCGAGCAGAGGGGACACAGAGAGCGGAGCGCCTGGTAGCCACCCAGTCTCGGGGGAGCTCACAGCTCTCAGCCCCACTCCCGGGATCCCCATGGAAGCCAGCTGTGCCCCCGGAAGAGCAGGAGGAGGAGGAGTCGGCTAAATGCCCGCGGTGCGCCCGGGGCCCCTGAGCCCAGTCCGCTCCGCGCCGCTGCCCTAAGGCCCCCACGCCCCCGGCGCCCCCTACCCGGGGCTGTGCCGCCTCCGCCCGCCCCTCCCTCGGGGCTTTCCCCCCGGACCTGCCCCCGCCCGCGTGCCAGAGCTCAAGCAGGAGCTCTGGGCCGGGCGCGCCGCCGCCCTGGAGTAAGGGAAGCCCAGCCGAAGAGGGTCTCCGGAGCCGGCCGCGATGGACGCTGTGTTGGAGCCCTTCCCGGCCGACAGGCTGTTCCCCGGATCCAGCTTCCTGGACTTGGGGGATCTGAACGAGTCGGATTTCCTCAACAATGCGGTAAGATGAAGGGTCTGCGTCCCCCTTCCACCCCTCCGCACCCGCCTTCACAGCTTGCCTGGGCCCCCCTGAAGGACCGAGCTATATACATCACTGGGCAGAGGCGGAGGAAGGGGCTCAGTGCAGGGTCCCCCGAAGGGACATGTGCTTAGAGCTCTGAGATTTGATGACTAGATCCCTCGACACCTCCCTAGTCCCAGAGCCTGAACCGGAGCCTCAGTGCTTGGCTCCAGTGCGCGCCCCTCCTGGGGGGTCCGTCCGTAGATGCATTGGCCTCCGCCTTCTAGGGGAAGGGGACCTCAAGGCGTCGGGGGGCTCTCCGATCCTCCGATATGAGCCCAAGAGACACCAATCCTGTCCCCTCCCGGGGTTCCAAGACCAGATTGGGCGCAAAGTGGACCCGCAGCTGGTTCTCCGCTGGGAGGCGCACAGAGGAGTGTTCAGAGGGCCAGACACCCGACACCCCTTGTGGGGGCCAGAGCCAGACCCAGGTTCTGAGGCAGACCTGGAAACTTAGGGGTGCCGGGGAGTCTGCCCCAAAGTCAGGCCCAAGATCCCCCCAGCCCCCCAGGGAGGGACCTGACGCCCAGCTGGTCAGAGCGGCACTGGGCAACCGCTCATGACGAGAGAGGTCTGTCTCCCCATCACTGTGTCTCTAGGTCTGTTTCTCTGTCCCTCGTGTCTCCTTGACGTTCTCTGTCTCTCTTTCCGTGACTATCTCTGTCTCTGGGTTTGTCTTTCTTCTTTCTCTCTTCCCCTCCCTCCCTAAGGAAACGTGGCTTCTCTCTCTTCTTCCCTCCCTCCCTCCCTCTCTTAGCCTCAGCCTGAAGGCCCTACTGGGGGAGGGGCATGGGCTCAGTAGCTGGGGAAAAAATATTTGGGTTCAGAAAGGCCTTCCCAGTTGAAATGTGGGCAGCTTAGGGAATCTGGTAGGATCCCCCCATGCAGTGAACCACCAGTCTCGTGTGTACACATATGCACACACACGCACAAACACGCACACATCCAGAGATCATCTCAGGGGTCTCTACCTGCTGGCCTCTACCTACTGGGACTAAGATAAACTTGGCCAGACAAGAGTCAAGTGCTTAGACACTTAAATTGGGCACCTTGAACTTCTACCTAATTGTCCCAGCTGCTAAACTGATTGATGGTGGAGAAACCAGCCAAGGGGCAGGCAGGAACCTCAGTCCGGGAGGCATGGGTGTGAGGACTCCCAGTCAGTCCTTCATTAGGCTGGGTCACCCTGCTTTCTGAAAAAGACTCCTGGTCCCAGTCAGAGGGAGCACACTTTGACAGACAGGCCAAGTAGAGAAGGGGAGACTACTTGAACTGGTCGTGGGGAGAGCTGGGTTCTAGTCCTGCTTCTGCTTCTGCTTCTGCCTCCCTTTGTGAGCCTGGGCCACACCACCGGGCTCTCCTCCCTGGGCCTTGGTTTCTTTGTCTATAAAATGGACAAAGATTGGATCAAGTCTTTCTAAGAATGATCTGGCACAGATCCTAGGAATAAAATAGCAGGGATCTGGGGTTCCACACACCCTGGAGTTGATAATAGGTACTGATCAGAGGGAGGGGGGTTGTTGGAGCTTGTACCCTTGCAGCCAAGAGGGGTAGTAAAGCCCTGCTGTGAGGTTCCCTCAGCAGCTCTGAGTTGGCCTTTCTTCTGAATGAACTCTGCAGCCTACAGCCTCTTCCTGCTGCTCCATTCAGTCTCCCGTCCCCAGCTGCTCATCTGGGCGGTGGTCCAGGGCAGGAAAGGAGGCATGATCAGACAGTGGTATCCAGCACCCGGAGTGGGAGGGAAAGCCTTGCTGGGGAAGTTCTTAACCTGGGTCCTAGGCCTGATCAGGTGAGGCAGGAGAGAGGAAAGAATTTCTAAGAGGAGAGCAAATGAACTCCTGGGCTTGAAATCAGGAAATCTGGTTCTAGCTGCACTTCTGCTTCCAGCCAGCTGGGCAGTTCAGACAAGTGACTTTTCTTCCCCTGGGCCTCGGTTTCCTCATCTGAAAAATGGAGATATAGAACCTTTCCCATGGTGTTATTGTAGAGATGAAGTGAAAAAATTAATTAAAGATTAATGTAAGACAATGCCTGGCAGGTAAGTGTCCATAGTTAACTTGCTCCAGACACTAGATAGGGTGGCAGTAAGGACTACTCAGGTAGGAGTTGCTGTGTGACTTTGAGCAAGTCACTTTCCTTCTCTGGTGCCTCCATTTAGATGTCTAAGGTCCCTTCCAGTGAGGACCCCATGCCAACCTCACCTCCAACTCCCTCTTCATTCTGCACGAGGATAGTAAAATGTTTCCAGGGTTAAGGATAGGAAAGGATGGAGTCTGTGTGCTTCTAAGCCTGGAAGATGGAGAGCAGGATATTCACTATCCTCCTTAAAAATCCAGATAAAGGCCATAAAGTCGCGTGGAAAGTATGTGCTCTGTTGTTCTATGCAAAAAACAAACATCAGAAAGTACACTCACCCTGAACACTACTAAGAAACATGCATTCGCCTGGACAGAGACAGGAGAATGAACATGCAAAGTCAAATCAAGTGTGCTTGGAGATGGCCAGGGGTACTTTATTTTTTTCTTCTATGAAGAAACCGTCATGCTGTTGCAATCTTGTCTGTGTTATTCTCAGAGACACCCCTCAGAAGGGGCTGACCTTCCTGCCAGAGGTGGAGGCTTCTACTCCCTTCCCCTCCCCACTCTCACACAGTTCCTGATGTGGCCCCCCTCAAGCCCTTTTCCCTGTACCCTATAATCCTTCAGCCCCGGGGCAGGTGTAAGAGAGGGTCTGGTACTCAGAGAACTGGGATAAAGGACCAGAGGGAGAACAGGTCGTGTCTCCAGATAGAGACACTAGGTTGATGTGCTTTTTCCCTTATTCCTGTGGCTAAGGGGGAGAGATGATTCCCATTTCTCTAGAAGAAATGGCTTTGGATCCCAGCAAAGTCCCTGGCTGGGAGGGTGTAGGGAGGAGCGGGAGGAGGAAGAAGAGTTCTGTTGTCTCAGAGGGGAGCAGCAGGAAGCTTCGAGGATGTTTGCCCAGCACACTCATTTACCTCCCAGCAGCTGGGGAGGCCAGGTGTGGGAATGACCCGAACCCAGGGACCAGCCCAGGCGAAGGGAGGTGTGGGGGCTAAGCTTGATGGCTGCTCCCAAACCCCCCAGACTGGCTTCTCCTGAGCTAAATGGGGAAGCAGAGAGCAACCACCACCACCACCCCAGGCTTTGGGGGATTTAGGTAGATTAGAGAAGTATGTGCATTTGGGTGTTCCTATGTATGTGTGTGGGCCTTTAACAGGGAAGGGGTTGTGTGTGCATGAGTGTGTGAGCTCGCGTGTGTGCTTCTCTTTAAATTCTCACCAACAGGAAAGAGGACCCAAGGGCCAAGGCACTCTGGTCTCAGAGTAGAATCCACTAGAAAAGAGCTAATGGAGAAAAACTAATGGAGGAGCCCAAATCTCAGGGCTTCTATTCAGGAAGGGAGGTCTCCCCAGACACCTACTTCTCCTCCAACACACTGAGTTTGTTTTGGGCAGAGGTTTTTTTCTGTTTTGTTTTTGCTTCCCCTACTGAGATATGAGCTCCTTGAGCACAGGGGTTTATCTGTCTTGTTTACTGTATCCCCACTCCCACGCACAGTGCTTGGCACAGAGTAGGCCCCAGCCAACCATTGCTGAATGAATGAATTGGGGCCCAGGCCAGACCCCGCATTTTATGAGGAGGAAAAAGGGTACTTAAACTCATCTACTCCCAGCCACCAGAGTCCTGCAGCCCACATGGTTTCTGAAATTCCGGAAGGGCTCTCCATGCTTTCCAACGAGTTGTCTTTGCCTTGAGCCATCCCCGTCCTCTGTGTGGCACAGACCCGCACAGCTCCTGGTGCAGGATAGTCTAAAGCTGGCTGAGCCACAGTAGATTTGAACTTGCAACTTGAACTCAGACTTGAGCACTGGCTCCAGGGCTTCCATCTTTCCCAGTTTCTTCTTGTTCCAGTTGCTCTGGGCCTCCTGGATCCACAATCACCAACTTAAAACCAAGTCTTTTCTAATCCTACCTCAGGGCTTTTGCACATGCTGTTCCTGGAATGCTTTCCCTTCAGTTCTCTCCATCTCATCCTCCTCAGTTTAAATGTCACCTCTTTAGAAAAGTTTCCCCATCTACCTCAAGTGGGACCTCCTGTTATTTTCCACTCAGTCTTTTGATTTCTTCATAGCCCTTATACCAGTTTGCAGTGATTTTATTGGCTTGTTATCCATTTCCTCTGTGAAAAAGCAAGTTCCATGAGAAAAGAGACCATGTCAGTTTTGTTCATTGCCATTAACCTAGCACGGTACCACGGCACAAAATAGGTGCTTAATAAATAGCGAAAGTCCACCATAAGGCAATAAGCTGAGTCCAAAATTTTCAATCATGTAAAATGTAGAGTTGTGGTATTGTAGGATCAATGAAAAAACAATATATTTCAGTGGGTCTACGTTATCACAAAAAGCACAGAAGTAAAGATTGTGAAACCTTACTGCATGCAGCAGAGCAAACTGAGAAAGTTCCAAAGGAGCATGAGCAGACACTTCTTTATCAACCTCACAGATAAGAGTTTTGTCCACCTTTATCTGAGATGGGCCCCAGGTGTAGGACAAAAGCCAAGGTTTCGTCACATCGTAGTGGACTTTGCTCTATGTCAAGGATTTACTGTATTTGTAGAATAAATTATTTCAGACTGCGGCAATCCCTTTAAGGGAAGGGGGGGAATATTTTTTAAAAGACAGGCCTGAGGGTTCAAGAAGTATACTGATAATTCCAGAAAGGACCCTGAGAACCTGGTCTGGGCAGCCATGAGGGTGATGGGGATGCTGGATCCCAGGAAGGTGCTGCCTGCTCCCTGATCTGCTGTGAGGTCCGGCCGGCTTCCCTGGACCAGCTGGGGATTCGCTTGGCTGTTCCTCAATCCACACATCCTGTCCTTTAACAACTGGGCACCAAAGGAGCACCTATGCCGGT